TCCGGCAGCCAGCCGCTCAGCCAGCTCAGTAATTTAAGTCAGTCGTTACTCGCCTCCGATCGAACTTGTAAGTAGGGTTCGTCCCCTTGGAATAATCGACTATAATATCTAAATTTTCTCCATTTTTAACACCCTTCCATTCTCGTCTTCCAATCGTCTGAATTTTCATTTCACGGATAAATATCTTTTTTATAAATTATCTCTCTCTCTCTCTCTCTCTCTCTGTACGAATATTTCAATGTATGGCCACCACGTATCACGAAAATCGTAAATTTGCGCGTGGTAGCGAGAAGAAAGCCAGGACCGAAGCCTCGAAGGGTGCCGCAGAACTCCGTGCCGGTGCCGGCATCCCCTAGCCCTTCGTTGGCGCAGCTGTTCGCCGCCGCCGATTCACCGCAACGACCGAGCAGCGGGAGCGAGGAGAGCGAGAGCGCAAGCACGACCCACCACAAGGACGGCCGGCCAAGGAACCTGGGTCGCGGCGTTTCGAAACCGAAGAAGAACACGGTTGCCTCGTTGCTCGCTCAGAGCAGAGCCCTGGGAATCAAACCGACGCCCACGTTGGACCCCAGTGTGCCATTGTCCCATCAGGTCTCGTTACTGAGGTCGAATATTCTGGCTGCTCAATTGCACGCTACAGCGACCGGTCAGACCGGTCAGACAGATGACAAGAATCAGGTAAAGTTCGTGGTCGATATGTATATATATATATACATATATATATATACACACATATATATATATTTTTCGATGTAATTTCTTTTCACTTCATTTTTTTTTCACATTTGTTTTTTCTTTTTTTTTTATTTTTTTTTTTCTTTTTTTTTTGGTTCGTTCGTTCATTATTGGTTCATTATCAATTTTATCGAAAATACATCACGATCGATTCGTTTTTAACCGACGATTCGTTTGATTCGAAAATCGAACGATGGAGCAGCCACACCATTGTCACGGAGGAGAGAAGTAAACGAGTAAAGTTCGAAGGGAGGCGGATTTTTTTTTTTTTTTTTTTTCTTTTTCGCTTATGATTTCCCACTAAAACCATGCTCCCTATATAGCGGTCTTTGCAGGAGAAGATGAAGAACAAGTTGCTCGAGGTCTCCGGCGAGGAGAGCAACATGGACGTGACGAGCGAAAGCGGTAGCAACACAGACGTTGTGACGGATACCGACGACGACAACACGGACGGCGTATCAAGCGCGAAGAGAAGAAAGGTGAAGCCCAGCGAGAGGGATCTCCAGGTGCCGCTGGAGCGCGGTTGGAAGCGGGAGACCGTCATCAAGGGATTGGGGAAGTCGGGAGTGATAAAGGGTGACGTGTCTTATTACAGCCCTTGCGGAAAGACGTTCAGAAGCAGCCCGGATTTAGCCAAGGTTGGTCCATAATTGTTGCTATTTTCCAAGTATTGTTATTATTATTTTTCCGTTTATTTCATTCATCCTTGGCTCACGTAATTAGAATTCAGAATTGGCTGTTTCAGTTTCTAGAGCAACAGAATCCGCCCGAGTTGACGACCGCCAACTTCTCGTTCTCCTCTCGCCCACTTGTAGGCGAGTTTCTACAACCGACGATGGGCCTCGCGGAGGCGGAATTCGTCAGGTTGGGGGCTCAGGAAGTGGCGAGAAGGTTGGAGGAGTTGAGAGCCGCGGGTGGTTTCAGGGATTCGAGGACGAATAACCAATACGAGAGGGAGAAGTTGGCGTACGCGAAAAAATTGGCCAAGGAGGAGGCGCAGCGACACAAGGAACAAGCTAGGTAAAAATCGTCACTTTCTTAAAAAATTATCGAGTCGAATCGGATTTTCATTTTTTCGTTCAATTCGTTGAATATAATTTTCCATAATTTTCCTTCGGTCTGTTCAGTTTCGATCCGATTCGTTTTCGTATTATGATTGGATTAGAACGTATATCGATATATATATATATATATATATATATATATATATGATGTTGT